GTAGGCAGTTCAGGGGCGGAGTGAGGGGGGTGAGTGAGCCACGAGCCAAATTGCATGTGTGAAAAGCTGGAATAGGAGCGTTTACACTGCTTTGCTGAGGGGACGCGGACATGTCACGCGCAGCGGCGGCACGCCTCCCCCCCCCCTCAAATAAGTTGGTACTGTAATTATTCATTAGCCGACGCTAAACGCCGACGAATGCCTTGAATTAAATGTTTTGCAATTTAAAAGCGCGAAAAAGTCAAGAACCTGAAGTTGAGGTGCATCGCCACCAACATATAAATCTTCCTCATCACCATGCATACTCAGCTCTCCATGCTGCACATGGCTCACACCACTCCTTCCGAGAGCGACTGCTATCACTGCTTTAAGATCCTCACATGGCTGCAAAGACCATTTTTTTAAAGCACCGTTCAAGGAATGTGTCGAAAGCATACCTTGCAGAAGATTACTTCAAACTGCATCCAGTCACATATAAGTGCTACATCTTCGACAACATCCTCAAAAAGGTGCTGACCTGCACTCCGTGAGATCATGCTCAATCCTCAAATACGGCAAATGTCAACTCAAACACAACAAACCGGGTTCCGAGACACAGAAAACAGTGCCGGTAGGTGCTGAATGGTGCCAAGACGACGCCACATTTCACCAACAGCAAAAATGAATTTCATTTGTTATCAAAACACTGTGTAAACCTTCAACAGCAGTTTACGAACAGATTGGAAAATTATCCTGATCGCGCAAAAATAGGACCGACTTCGTTGGTTGATCACATTAACGCATGTCACGCAATGCACGCCGCAGGACAAGCTCGGTTTCACTCGGGAGAGAGGGGGGTTTGCCAGCCAAGCTGTACGTATGCTTACATAAGAATCTAGCTTCTTCTAGCGACGCACACCTCACATCTAGTCGTGATTCTAAGAAACGGATGACCCAAAAGCCGTGCACCCAATCAGGCCCTCCTTGACGGGGGGGGGGGGGGGGGAGAGAAATTGCAAAATTGCCAGTGTTGACTGTCACCGCTATGACCAGCTTAGCTGTCTGCCGCTGTCTATTCCAGAAAAGAATGCCTCAATAATTGAGTCGGAGGACGAGAAGCTTGTCTCAAAGCCGTGGGTATGGCAAGCCTACCAACGATAACTGCCCCGATTTCTTGAGGCCAGAGGGTTACCCTGTGTCCGAGCACAAATAAAATAACATTTATTTTCTGCGTCTCACAATTTTGGCGCCATTTTTTCAGGTCGCCAGTGGACATTGTCTTTGGAGAGGTTAATGATGATGACGATGATGAATAAAGCCTGCGCTGATTGGCGCCGATCTTGAGGTGCTAATTAGAACAGCCAAGTTTGAGCACCTTAGCGAGTCGAGCCACAGAACCCCTTTAAACGCCAGTAGGGAAAGTACCGTGCTGACCGTTAGACAACCGGACCGCTTCGAACACAAATGTGCTGAAAAGGCTTGGGAAACCTCCACCCATTCCCCGCTATGGACTTCAACAAATGTAGCATTGTTTTCGATGGGTAGAGCTTTTTGTCATACGAGCATGCTTTGTTATTCTCAAATACTATGTATGCATCGAGATCGAACTCGCCTTTCCTAAAGGATGTACTTCAAACCTTTCACTCCTTTCTGGCAAGAGGGCCGCTTAGCAAAGTACTAAACGTATATTTTTTCATTTTTTGTAGATTAACGGTTTTCCGTTCTATCTATGCGGACCCTTGACTAACCAGGAAAGGTCATTAGGCCAACCCGGCCAAATGAAATGAGGTGCACATTTCTGTACGCAACATGAGACGCTGAACTCAAATCTGCTTTCATTATCTGCTGAACTCTTCTCTGAAAGGAGTTACGGAGGGTTTTTGTTGCCGCCCTTGATTTTCAGTGTCTTGCCTGCAATCACATGTTAGCCGCATTATAAAAGTATCGAAAGGAGAACCGAGGCACCGATGAGGTGAGCTTCGGTAGCGCAGTTGGTAGCGGTCTTGCTTCTCAAGTCAGGGGTCGCGGGTTCGGTCCCTTACGGGTTTGGTGTTTTGCTTTTTTCCAACATGGCTGAAAAGCCTTTTTGAATCCGTTATTTTATCAACGGTCGCCCGACGCTACATCTACGAAGAGTTTGCAAGCAGATCCTCTTAAGTTTAAGCTACTTGTCTGTGAGTGCCCATGGTGCCCGTAGTGCAGGTGCTATGCTTTTCCGTGGCAAGTAGGTACGATATTCGTATTCAGGGGATCAAACTACCCCTAAAAACGAGTTTTTCGCCAAATCTGAGGCGATGAACTAATTGAGAAAAAGCGGAGCAGTGATGGGATTACCTCCTCAAACTCCACTTTTTTGGGTTGACCAATCATGGACGACGAGGGAAAGGGGAGAATCATGGACGACGGGGGAAAGGGGAGAAAAGGTGTTGTATTAGGAAATAACGCTTTGCAGATCTTTGGATGATGCAGACGGGCAAGCCAGACACAATTTTTGTCTATTATGAAAAGTGTTTAAAAGGTTTATTCTACCCAAGTGCCAGCCTTTTGTAATGGATTGGTGGATCGGTGAGTAAGTGACTGCCCAAATTTTCGAGGTTAGGTCAAAATTTCAGAATTCGCTAGAAGTTTGCTCAAAGGGAGAGTCTGGCTCCCTGATTACGAATATCATACTTGTTCAAGGCAAAAATGCCTGGCGCCTGCGCTACAAGCGCCCTAATTGCCCTTAAATTCTTTGTACTGTTAACTATACGCAAGCATGTTCGGACTAGCGATGTTAGGAGTCTTCCTAGCTATCTTACTGCAAACGGCAAAAGAACAAACTCGCCAGGGAGTTGATCCCCTGACCTCTTTTTCGTGAGCCTCGACCACAGCCCCTGCGCTTTTCTGCTTCATAATTCCTTTCAGAGAAGAGTTCAGCAGATAAGGAACACATATTTGAGCTCAGCGTCCCAAGGCGCGTATACACATATACATCTCATTTCAAATGGCCGGGTTGACCAAATGACCTTTCCTGGTAAGGCCAACCGTATAATGGTACAATACCAACGAGGACGGCGTATATGGCCTCGAGGTGGGAGGGGGTGTAACCGCGGTGATCAGCAGGAGAAATCGATATCGACTTCGAAATGCATCGGCGAATTAGAAGCACAGCGCAGGCGCGGCGCACACCATGGCAGGGATTGCTAGTGCAAAGCGCTTCTAAATTCGAGTTATCAGTGACAAAAGGCTGTTTCAGAGGATTCCGATGTTTTTGGAGTGAATGAAACGAAGAAAATTGCAGTAATATAAAGGATGGACTTCTTTAAGCAAAGAAATTTTTTTACAAAATAATTCTCTTTGGAGGAGGATTGAAACAAACGGGTTTCCAGAAGCACATAGTAAAATTTTCTAACACACCCAAAATTTGACATGAAATCGGTTTCAAAGAAAGTTACGACAATTGAAACCTAAAAAAAGACCCCGTGTTTTCGGGAAAATGGCTTGATGAGTGCACTCAAGAAGAAAGTCCCAACGGGATTTTTTTGAATCGGTAACCTTTCGAAAATGTTTATGTACTTTTTAGAAAGCAAACTTTGCAGTTTGTCATGCTGGATTCAGCTTCCCAAATTAATGACTTTGAAGGAAGTTGTGATCGTTCGAAGGTTGAAAACTAGCCTGAAGATCTGAATCTGGATCTGAATTTTCCCAGTTTCTTACTTTGTCTCGCAACCTCGAATTAGGAGCAAGGTATGATCATCGAAAGAGGCAGGTGCAATTTTCCTTGAAATTTCACTTGATTGGGGTAGGAACACCGGGGGAACGGGCAATACTCCCGCACCCCGGAGCTTTTCTCCCATTCATGTGTAAGTTAATGTTTCCATACACACACGTTCACAAAGGGGGTCACCAAGGAACTAAAAAGGGGGAGAAGGTCATAAAATTTCAAAAAGAATCAACGGTAGGGTTGACCCTGCCCATGGCCCGTACCACATGCAGAACCTTTTTGAAGAAGTGCTTCACATCTTTGGGTGCTTTTTTGTAGAATCTGATCTATAGCCGTTCTGCGCCGGCTATCACCAACACGCCAGACATTGTGAAAGATTTCCGAAGTGGCAACTACAATAAAATAGGGAAAATCTCGCAGATTATCATTCATGTCCACTTTTACTGATGCATTATCACTCTGCAGAACGAAACACGATCTGTCTGCTCCATTTTCGGAGAGACGCTCACAAAGGTGTTTCCTTCTTTGGTAGTCGCATAGCTTTCGGGAACGAGCCTTCTCCTGTGCTACGGGATATGAGAGCCAGACCCTTCAATTTCTGTGGAGTGATGGAAGTCCCTTGATCGCCCACGAATTGAATAGTTCGTGATGAATGAGTAATTTGTATTGTTGCCTCATGTTTTATAGTGATGTATCAAAAAAATATTGAACACATTCCATAATCAACTCTGGATAAAAGAGACAATTCAAACGAACCTATGGCAGATCGCAGAGCAAACAAAGGAACGAGCGCATTTTTGTTATATGCCAAATTCACTAGCTGACGATGTGTTACAATAGGGTAAATGCAGTCTTCATCACAATCAGTGTCAATGTGGCGATCAATAGAGTCGCATATGTATGGCAGAGCATACTAAAAATAACATATAGGCAATGATGAAAATTTCAGTTATGGTCACGAAAGCCGAAAAATTACCTCAACTGCATCTCGACCACATGTTTCTCCTTTGTGCCACCCTACCACATCCGTACCATCAGCAATTATTTGATCACATAACCATTGACAATCAGCTGACAACACGTTTATGGAAACGCCCTGGAATTAGCCCCAGAATCGCTAGAGCATAAAACAGAACATTTCAAATTCGGACCTCTAATACAATATGAACGGGAAGTTAGGAGAGGTTTGCTTTCAACCTCACATTTCAAAACTGAATGACAAAATCTATCAAAGAATCGTGCCTTTAACTTCAGCGAACCCATTTCAGCAATTTGAAAGAAAAACTGAGCTTGAACACCGAGGAAAAAAGGCGTTGGGCTAATATTCGTAACGCTCCATGACCCAATGGGATTCGCTCACTTGGGCTACAGACGAAGAGGGTGAAAAGGCTGACACCAAAATTCGGAAATAAATCCCTTAAAAGACGAGCGAATATACCAGATACACCTCAGTCAACCGTCCTTCTCGTTAATTATTCTCGGAAGTAAAAAAGCAGGAACATTTTTTTTGCAATTGGAAGAATTTCAAGAATTGAGGCAGTATTCATTTGCCGTTTCAACAGTTACACCGTGAAATCATAATATCACACAGAAACTTTGTGAAACTCTTGTATAAGGAGTTTTGGAGAAGTTTCCAAGAGAAAATGCTGTAAACGTAGATGCAAATGTGCAGACCATTGCCAAATACCAACCCGAAAACCAAAAAAAAGCTGCTTTAATTTTTCGAGAAAAACCATCACAATTCAAGACATTGACGAGTGGCGGCCTGCTATAAGTATCATTGAAGCGTCGATGAATTGAAGAAAAACAGGACAAATTCGCCTTCCCCTAGCTATCCAACACGCACAATGCGTTCTCGATATAACAGCTCCCTTGTATCAACGCAGACAGGAGCCACTCTAGGAAGTAATTTTAAATTCTGCTTTCTATAACCATAAATATATTATTGTTGTCCATCTATGCCTTTCTAGCCGCATTAATTTTACATGATCCTCTCTAGTAAACCCCTTTGCGAATATCTCAAGAACAGGAATCTAAACCCTCTTCAGGTTTGATTATGAATCACCCCTCTTCTCATGATTCTCCTATGGGTACCCGACAGGAAGCCCGTCGCGCGGCAAGAAGTCAGCGGACGAGTCGCAGCGCGTGCTGTAGTGATTTCGCGTCAAGTGAACCATTGCACAAGTGAATGTAATATTGTACGTCTTCCATCACACATCAAATGCTGTGACTCGTCCGCTGACTCTGCCTTCTTGCTGCGCGACGGGCCTCCTGATCGGTACCCTTCTCCTACATGTAAGGACAACAGTGACCTTCATTTGGCGAAAGAAGATCTACCCAATAAGATGTTAGAATATTTCTCGTTGCTGCGACAACTTCATAATTCGCATCACATTGTATAAAACAACAGATTTGTTTTTATGTAAACCCACCTGACGGAATTTGCACAAGAGCAAAGAGGAGACCACGGAAACCAAAGAGATAGAAATTATAGACTGTGCCTCTGAAAAAATACACGAGCATGGCAAAACAAAAGATAAAGGAAAGTCAGGCCGCTATAAAACACTAGCGTGTTGCAATGGCAAAGCCTGTATGATAGCAAGTCAGAATTCGGATCAGTTGTATATCAATCACCTTTGCTATCAGCAATGTTCGAGTAGCTTCTCACCCATGCTCCGAAATTCGGAGGGCTGCAAGCCGAAATAGCGAGCACCTCGTTTATTAAAGTTATTGAAGTTGGTTCTTATACTTCTATCCAAAGCCAAACGAAGTGATTTTATAGATTCGAAATAAATCAGTATTGTATTTTTACAATGTTAATGTCGCTCGTGAAAGGCGATGACCTATAGGATATATCGCGGTGAACTTGGAAACAAAGTTGACAAGTGGTGCAAGTTTCTGGGTTTTGGGTAGAAGTTACTAATCGGGCGCATTAATCCCCCAATTCGTTGGCTCCAACATATCCCACATATGTGTCAGGTTCCCTGCCCGCTAGCTCCTCACCTGAAGTACAAAAAGCTCGATGAAAAGGACCGCAAGTCCAACTTCCAAATATTTTTTCGACAAGTCGTACTATGTTCCACACAGCTAGTATCGAGCAGCCCCAAGGTTGCGTTTGTTGCTGACTCTGATGGCAATATGTTGAGGGTCAGAATAACTGAGGTGATAAAACAATAATTTCAAATCTTGGCGATGGGGTGGTTCACGTAATAACTTCGTTCCATCGTAATAGACCGTTATTAGTATCTATTGAGCGACTTCCAAATATGACCACGGAGGCTGCGAAGAGCGCATTACGTGAAGTAAGTAAAAGTATTTCTGGTGTATGTATGTCTAGCAATTCCTATGGAAACTAGGGAGCAGTACAATGCGATGGGAGAGAGCTGGATATACGGCGAGAGAGCGACGCGCTGCGAGAGAAGCGCGGTTGTGTGTGTTAAGCCAATGTAAATCGCCTAGGGTGAGGAGGGGAGGGGTTGGCGCTCATTTCGAAAACGCCAAGACCAGTGTGGAGCGCGCGCTAGCGGCCGTCTGAAACATTGACACAGCTCATACATAGTTTTTATTAACCAATATGGAAAAAAAGAGGGCGTCGACTGAATTACGATGGCGAGTGGGAAAGAACTGCCACGAAGCCGTTTTGATGTTCTCGGCCGTCAGGCAGCGTAGTTTCGTCCTGACGGATTTATGTGTGGAGTAGGCAAGTTTTACGGCTAGCCTATCACCGCATATTTTGTTTTGTTGAACCATGCAATCTCAGTGAGTATTGATTCCTTTGCTATCACGGGATGGAATCGGGATGCATCCGCCATTTCTGCTATCTGATTCCCTTCTCTAATGTATCCTTGCAGCTCCTATTTTCACCTTTTCCCCATTTCACCACCATTTTCCCTTTTATAAGGTTCGAGATTTCCTCTACCTTCCCATTTCTTAAATGCTACGTTTCAAAATCGCAGCTGGGTCCCCACTTCACACGCGTCATCTGTCACTAAGAGTTCTTTACTCTTTGTGTATTCTTTACAGCATACACTCAATACCGCGGACTCCTGCTTTTTAGCTGAGAGGCAGAGCAGAGCGTTCACATTATGAGGGTAGCACCGATGAGACTCGCTCCAATGCGGAAACCCACCGGGAGAAGGGGAGCCCATTTCACGAATTCTGAGTCATTCCCTTTAATTTTTCTCTCCTATCCTCAGCAGCAACAATTTCATCCCCAGCATGAAACAATTGATCGTAAAGTTCGCCCTGATTCTGCCCTCTTGAATGTTCAGTATCGAAGTAATGCCCTAATCCCGCCCGAGTTATAGGGAAGCGAGTTTTGAGGACGTTCATATTGCAGTATCCTAATATTTGAATTTCAGAAAGTGTACGCACCGTGCAAAGACATGAAAACCTATGGCTCGTATTAGGCTCCTGTCGTCCGGCTTTTCTTTATGTCCTGTGTGCCACGGCACAAGCTCCCTGAAAGCAGGATAAAACTTTTGCTTCTCAATAAGGAAGAAACAAAGATGCACCTGTATGACACAACATGAGGAATGCGGCTCAGCTGAGGCATGACTTTGCGAGACGAGAGAGCTTCGTGAAGCGCATTCATGTAGTCCTGCAACCTGGTATCAATGATCGCACAGGTACGGGTCAAGAGGCCTACTGCGCGGTGATGACGCCGCGAAGGGTGTCGCAGTTCGGTTACACTGGCGCTACTTTTGCAGTGGAGGTCACCATATCCAAAAGCTCCCGTCCATTTACATTTGAAGGCTGGGCGGGAAACCGATGCACGGAAAAGCTCAGAACCCCTTTCACTAATTATGTTTAATTTGAGATGTGAGAAATTTCCTCAAAACTCGGAGCAAAATTGAAGCAAATCACAAATGCCGAACATTTAATTCGTGTCGTGGAATTAAAGGAATCCTTGTCCGGAAAAATCATGATTCTATTTCAGCCATAAATCACTGGCTTGAGACCCATCGTCCACGATAAGAACGAAAAGAACAAAAAATTGCATTTGTTCCGGTGAACACAAAAAACCGGAAGGGCTGCTCATTAATATTGGGAAAGAATGCAAATTTTCCGGGAAGGATTCTTTCAATGGCGCACGACCACAACGTAAAGTATTCCGATCCAATTGGATCTATAACGAAATACTATACTACTACTACCAAACATTTCGCCATAATTCCGCTGTGTTTCTGCGCGTTCACCATGCAGTGAGACTCCTGACCACTTCCTTGGCTGCATAAGTGTTAAAAAACTGAAAGATCAACGAACCGTGAGCAGAATGGGAGTCCCAAAATGCATCCGCACGGCTCCACAACGCTTGGGCTTGCCGAAGCTCCTCAACACACCGCATAACACTCGAAATACACTCTCGCGTTTCTATAATGAAAAAAAAATTCAAGTGAAGTGATCACTAGGTCGTGGGTGACATAATCCCTAGTGAGCTAGAAGTTTCATATGATTCTCTATTTACTGTCTATTTATCTACCTGTTGGCAATTGCGCCGTCCGTTTACCACTCATACCCTCAGAAATAATCAAAAAAGGGTATAGAACCGTATATGGGGTAAGTAGGCAGAAAGCAGGTCCTGACCAATAGCAAGTGCAGTAACAGGTAGGACCTACATAAATAGGCGCGACTCAGACTAAGTCCATCTTGAGTGTTAAAACTCACATTAGGGCATTGTGGACGAATAAGTGAGGACGGATGTAAGCACACAATCAAGACAAACAATCAAAGAAGCCTCCAGAAAAATGACTTGTGAATCGATATAGATAAAAAAAATCTGCGCTTTTATGTGAAGGACCAGAGTAGGATAGTGAGCTCTACCACTGGAAATGCAGTCAAAAATTTCAAATGCTATCGATGCCAGATGATGAGAAACTGACTCATAGGTGCAGAGTATGAATTTAAGCCACGAACTACTTCTTACTCGATAATTTCCCGAATAGCTTCAGTACTTGTTAAAATCTTGAATCTCGGAATTTACCGTGCTCGCTGCTGGCTTCCAAAGTAACAACTTTGAAGAAAGCTGCGATGGTACAGAGGTTGAAGACGTATGTGCACGAGAAAAGTAGAAACCCCGCTGATTAGAATAATTTCACTTTAACATTCGTTTGCTTTAGCCTTGAACTTGGTAGGACTTATTGCCACTCGAAATCAGGATCCACCTCACAACAGCCAACAAAATGCTACGCGCTAAGAACTTGAATTATCCCTCAAAAGGATCAGTGCCCGCCCACCAGTTGATCTCTAATCTGTGTAGTATTGCCAACCTGGTGTGCCCTCCCAGCTTGGCGTTCTTTTTCCCCCTCGCGACTCACACGATCTCTTATCTTCCTGTCTGCCACTTACCAGGAAAGATCATTTGGTCAATATGCCAATTAAATAAAATTAGATGTATATGTCTGTACGCGCCTGTGGAACGCTGAGCTCAAATATGCTTTCCTTATCTGCTAAACTCTTCTCTGAAAGGAATTATGAAGCAGAAAAGCGCAGGGGCAGTGGTCGAGGCTCACGAAAAAGAGGTCAGGGGATCGACTCCTGGCGAGTTTGTTCTTTTGCCGTTTGCAGTAAGATAGCTAGGAAGACTCCTAACATTGCTAGTCCAACATGCTTGCGTATAGTTAACAGTAAAAGAATTAAGGGCAATTAATAACGAACTTGGGCGGCATCGCTCCTCACTACTTTGGGCGCTTGTAGCGCAGGCGCCAGGCATTTTTCGCTTCGAACAAGTGTGATATTCGTAATCAGGGAGTCGGACTCCCCATTTGGGCAAACTTTCGGCCAAATCTGAAATTTTGACCTAACCGGGCAGTCTCTTTCTCAATTATCCATCAATCCAGTACAAAATCTTCGAATTGTGATGGAACAAACCTTCTAAGAACACTTCAGGAAAAATAAAAGTACTGCAACTCTCTGCTTTTCCAATTAGGTCAGACCTTAGGGTTTGACCAGAAACTGTTTTTTGGGGATAGTTCGATCCCATGAAAACGAATATCGTACCCACTTGCCACGGAAAAGCCTA